AGCTGGAGTCTTGCATGTACAAACTCTCCACTCTTATCTTATTTGTAAGCTTTTTATCAGCAACATCCATAATGGCACCCAAGTTGCAGATGCTACACGCTACACCTAAGGCAGTCTCAAGAGGCATCTATAAGCATGGATGTGAAGAAGGCCAAGGTGCAAGGGAAAGGGAACAATGTAATTAACATACCTATAAAAAGAAAGAAGGAAAGAAAGAAAAAAAAAAAGGATGGCCTATGTAAGGGGAGAATTGGAAAACCAGAGGCCATGCTATTGAGGAAACTGGGCGGGTGAGGGAAAGGCAAAAAACCAGAGTGAGATAACGGGTTTAGACACCCCAATCAATACTATCTCAGAGAATTATGAATCTTAAGTACACAAAAATGAGTGTTATATTAATCTGTTATTTACACGACAGAGTACTGAGTTGGATAAAGGTAGTCAAAAGAAATTGATATATTTCAATATACTCACAGGGAACATAATGCAAATATTCATGAATTGCAACTGGTTTGCATATCTTTATATAATGAATAAGTCCTTCATATAACATACCTATTGACAGAAAATTGCTAATATAAATATTAACATAATGACAGAAAATTGTTAATACCAAATATTACTTGCCACTCCCTTAATGATCCCTAGTAATGTCAGAATTTCAGTTAATGTCTTTACATTCCTAATCTTAAAATATTTACTCTTGATTAGGTTGAGCTGAACCACACCCTAAGTCCCCCCTACCCAGAGATTTTACCTTGTAAAGGAACATAGCTTAAGCTACATCTCAGCTTCTAATGTCCTTGCTCCCTTCCACTATGACTCATGGCAGGAAGGGCAAAACAGCCAAGGGCCACTGGGGTCTCATGACCAGGCTCTGCTACCTCATACAACTTTCTCCCTCTCCCCTCCTAAAAGGATAAGAACCTTTCCTTATGAATCGGATGGCGGGACATCCCCTAGGGAGGCAGGTTTTGCTACCCTGTTATCTCAATTAAAGACTATTTCTCAACTTAAGGCTTTGATTTATTTCAGGACTTGACACTATCTTACACCATAAATGTATTAGCTTAAATTCTCTGCTTTTCTGGGTTTACAAGACCAGCGTCTTGGGATTCCTATTATTTTGTTACTCCGCCTGCTCAAATTAATATAGTTCTAACTTCCTCTCAGATCAATTTTAAACTTAAATTACTCTGCCAATGGAGTGGAAACCTGGTTCTGCTTTATTCACCCAACTGTCTCTCATGCTACTACCCTACTACACCTATGCTCCAGACAGTCCTCTGCAACGCTTCCTAAGAAAATTAAGTTCATTCTAGCTTTTGTCCATGCTGTTCTTCCTCTACCAAGCCCCAATCAACAATCTTTCACAGTGCTAACTCTTCCATAAAGCCTCCAGCCAACAATGACCTCATTCCTACCTACTAGTCCCACTTGTCTTTTGTATGAGTGATCTCAAACAGATTGCATTTGTTTTCCTTTTATAGCATTTTCCCTACAGCAATACCTATACCTTTGTTTCCTCTCACAAAGACTTGTTAATTTAATTATATATTCATCTGAGCAAAAGGGGCAAAAAGCCAAAAACCACAAGCTGACTGTAGGTTTGACAACTCTGGTCTATGCTATATTTTATGGCATTTCTTTCTGCTTAATACTATTGTACGTTGTTTTGTATTTCCCTAATTTTTTCATATGCACACATATATGTGTACTATACTTTAATATTTCAAGGAGTCATTATTCACATCCATATCCAGCTTCATATTCCATAAGGGCATCCAACCCAGCACTCAGCACAGTGCTTGGCCCATAGCAGGCACTTAAATAATACTTATTATCTTACTGACCTGCCATTTTCTTGCCATCTTCCACGCCATAGCAATCTCCAAACCACTCAGACCTCCAGAGATCATGCCCTGGAGGAATTAATCTACTCGATTTTGGAGCTCCTAATTTAGGCCTGGTCTGTCCTGATTAGCAACAGTGAGATAAGTGAGCACAAACTCACAAAGCCAAATATATGTAGCCAGTCTCAGATCAAGCCTTGCTTCACATTTCATACAGTCACCTACCCTAGTCATCATATAAATCACCTCTACATACACACACACCCCCCACACCACACCACACTCCTCTCTCCACCTTTTGCTCTGGGAATAGTAATCAAATCAATACAACCAATGCTTCTGGAAAAAGCATGTCAATCATCTGCTATATACCTTCATGAACCATCCCCCGTGACTTCCCAGACCAAAATTCCCTTCCCTTCACCACTCCCTCACATGTAAATTTCCTTCCATTTGCATTCACTAGTCATTAGCATACTGCATTTCTTTCATTTATTCACTATTTCAACAACATAGGTTCTCTTCTTTTACTGATGCAGACTGCAATTCCTGTTTATTTGAGTAGCTGAAAAAATGCTTCAATTCAACGCCCTTAATTCTCACTTCTGGTGATGAGGTTTCCCCAAACTTAAGTAGGATGATCTTCAGATGAGGAATATTCAACCCATAATTGAAATCACTGCAGATTTAAGTTAGCTGTAGAAGGACCAGGGATCACCATTATGACAGAATAAAGCATCAGAACAGGACTTTAGTGGATTAAAGTTCCTTCTCCTAAAAGATTATAAGATCCTAAATGACAAAGATCACGTCATATTTCTCTTCTGGATATACCTCACAGAAACTGGCAAAATGCTAAGCATAAAGTCTCTGCATTTCCCACATTAATCTGGGTAAAATGCTTTGGGAATTTAAATATATAGCCAAAGAAGCATAAAGTTAAGTCCCATGAGTCAATGGAAATGGAACACTCACCAAGATAACATGGATTACAAAAATTTTTAAGCACATTCAAACAAATTATATCTCTTTTCACAATAAAAATTATTTTCAAAAGTGATATAAATAGATGCATATTTAACCATTTACAAGGAAAAACAACACAAGCATTAAAATGTACATGGAACCCTATTCACATCACACAAAACATGGAACAATTTGAAAAATGCTCTGTTAATTAAATCAGTTCTCTGTAGAATCTAACTTGACTTTTTTCTTCTCAAATGTACCCTCTTTATATATATATATGTGTGTGTGTGTATATATATATACACATATGTGTGTGTGTGTGTGTGTGTGTGTGTGTGTATGTATATGAAATTTTTTGGGGGGGGTGAGGCAATTGGGGTTAAGTGACTTGCCCAGGGTCACACAGCTAGTGAGTGTCTGAGGCCACATTTGAACTCAGGTACTCCTGACTCCGGGGCCAGTGCTCCATCCACTGTGCCACCCAGCTGCCCTCTTATATTTTCTTAAATGTAAAAGCAGAACAATTGTTAACCACCATTTATGTAGCAATATTTTCTATACTTATATACTTGAAGGAAGGTAGTAAGTTTCTTGACAGTCTCTGTTGATTGTACCACATTTCGGAGTTCCTCTCTCTCTCTCTCTCTCTCTCTCTCTCTCTCTCTCTCTCTCACACACACACACACACACACACACACAAAATCGTCCTAGTAATTATTTTATATAAATAGGATAATATCAAAAAGTGGAAGAAAGAAAAGAAGCCATTGACTCCTGAAAAAGAGTATTACTAGTAATATCCAAAGTCATTAATGACAGTGAATAGATGGAAATTATTCTCATTATGACTATCATCAAGTAACATAAAGTTATTTCTTCATTTTATTCAGCTTCCCTGGGGCTGAAGTTCATCAATTGCAGTTTCACAAAATATCCTACTCCAATAATTCTCAGTCTTGGTTTTCTGTTGTGGTGGCCACTATATCTTAAACCCACAGTTTGCTTCAGCAAGGACAATGGTAAACTTACTTATACTGTTGTTGTTCAGTCATTTCTGACTCTTTGTGACCCTATCTGGCAAAGATACTGCAGTGGTTTGCCATTTCCTTACAGATGAGGAAACTGAGGCAAACAGAGTTAAGGGATTTTCCCAGGGTCACACAGCTGGTTAAGTGCCTGAGACTCGATTTGAACTCAGGTCTTCCTGACTCCAGGCCCAGCACTCTATCCACTAAGCCAACTAGCTGCTCTTCTAACTTACTAATAGTTACCTAGCATTAAAGGTGTTTTAAGGTTTGCAAAATGCTTTACAAATATTTTTATTATTTCATCTTCACAACAATCCAAAAATAGAAGTAAAAATCCCCATTTTACAAATTTACTACTGAAATCTTAAAGCAAAGATTGTGTATTTGAACAGGATATGCTATTTTTCCAAACTACTTTCCTTGCTTTAAATACCATGAAACCAAATATAATTCAGTCAGATTAAATGCTAAAATGCAAAATAGCTAAGCACACACACAAGTCTATTATCATGATGGCTTGACTTCTGCTCTTAATAACTGAAAAGGCAAATAAATTTTTAAAAAACCCAATAACATTTAAACAGATTAGAAAATCTAAGTCAAGGTATGTAAAGCAAAAAAAAATCCAAGTCATACAAAATAACAGGTTGTTGTATCTTTAAAAAGAAAACAACTAAAACTCATAGTTAGCTTTAATTGGAACTAATCACAATTCTACGCATTCTGTGCTCTGGAAGCATGGGAGTTTCATTAGCTAAACAATATAAAATGAACACTATGCCATTCTAGGCTAGTGCTTATCAGTTTCAGATTTTAAGATGCTCCACTGCTTCAAACTGCATTAATTTAAAAAGTCTACCTAGATCTGAAATTTCTTCTTGAGGCATAATCTTATAGCTATGTCCTAAAGCTCAGAAGATTAATTGTTCATGGTGAAAATGCTAACTTATCACTCTCTCTGGCCCGTTGGATGTGACTTTCTACCAAACCAGCTCATTAGGACTTTGTACAGGGAAAAAAAGAAAGAAAATGAAAAAGGAGCAACCAACCAAAACTGTACTTGTTGTGCCATCCAGCAAATAGCAGAATACTATACGCCTGCTTTCATAGTGCACATAAGGGGCTTTTTATACCATGCTTGCTGCCCTACCTCTAGGTCACAGCTGTATTCCATGCCATCAAGGAGCGTCACTTTACACGGCACCGTTTTTATCTTCTTGGCAGCCTTCTGGGCTACCTTCTCTACCTTGAGCTCAGTAGTCTGAACTTCCTTAGTCTCCCTTTTAGCTGCTTCTCCTTCTTGTTTGTCTTCCCGGATTCCTTCCACCTTTGCCACTTCTATCTCTTTACTATCTTCCTTGGCAGGCTGTCGAGAAATCAATATCATAAATCATTATTATACAACAAAGCCTAACCAACTTCCCAAACACAACCATTCTGACAAATTTAATTATCTCTTAACCGTGGGTACATTTTTATTATTTTAATACTCTGATAACTATTTTTCAGTATAATTGGTTTCCTCTGAATTCCTATGGATTTTATTTTATGGCATTTAGAAATATTATTGTGAGAAAGGGTCCTTGGGCTTCACCAGACTGCTAAAGGTGTCTGAAGATTTATATGAACTGATGCAGAATGAAGTGATCAGAACCATGAGAACGGCAACACTGTACAATTATCAACTGTGAATGACTTAGCTATTGCCAACAATACAATGATCCAATGGACCCATGATGAAAAATGCTATCCATCTCCAAAGAGAGAACTGATGGATCCTAAATTCAAATCAAAGCATACTTTTTTAACTTTATTTTTCTTGTTTTGTTTCAGTCTGTATTTTCTTTCACAATATAGCTAATATGGAAATATGTTTTGCATTAACTGCACATATTAATTTATATCAAACTGCTTGCCTTCTCAAAGAAGGAGCAGAGGAGGAAGGGGAAAAATGTGAAACTCAAAACTTTCTAAAATGTTTAAAATTGTTTTACATGTAACTGGGGAAAAAGAAAGCATATATAAAAAAAGAACCACTGCTCTAAGCTAACCATAAGTAATTGCTACCACTGTAAATAATAATGTTATTTTAAAATCTCCATTATCCCTATCCAGAATGCAGATTTCAACATTCCAATGGGAAAGGGACAATGAAATACAGAGAAATTGTTCTTTATCTTTAGTTTGCTATCTATCAGTTAACTCTATCGACAATTTTGGCATTAAAGAATAAAGTTCTAAAGTCACTACAATGCAAACCATACTGATAATTAAAAATTAATCATTCAAACCACAAGAAAAACATCCAATTTATACAGCCAAAATCTTTACATAGTACTGCCAAAAAGTTGACAAAGAATAAAAATAAATAGGAATTTCTGGGTTTGCTTTACTTTCAAAGCATCATAGATCTAGCACCCTTCTAGAAGGAGCCCTCAAAGGCCATCTACTCAAATCTTTTCACATTACAGAAAGGAAATGATCGAACTAAGGCCCAGAAAGCTGAAGTGAATTGTCCAAGGTGACCAAAGTAGTAAGTGACTGAGATTAAGATTTTAATCTAGGTCTCCTGACTTCAGAGCCAATGAACGCCTCTTCCTCTGTTCCATGCTGCCTTCTGCCTTTTAGTCAAATGAACATCTAAATTAAACTAAGAGGAAGCCGGCTCAAATTGATCCCAAGTTATAACTTAATTTAAAAGTTACCTTGATTTAAAAATTACCACTGAGTGGTACAGGTAAAAGAGGGACGGACAGCCTTGGAGTCAAGCAAGGACAGGACAGGATGACAGGAGTTAAGAGCTAGAATGAACCTTAGAGACAATATATCTCCCTTTTATCTAATCCAATCCCCCTCATCTTTACAGGTGTGGAAACTGAGGGCAAGAGGGGGAAAATAATTTGCCCAAGGTTTTGCCACTAGCTGTGTAAACCTAGTTAAGTCACACTCCTCCTCTAGACAGCAGTTACCTTCACATGCAGAATACAGCAATTAAACTGGATAATCTCTAAGCTTCTATATCCTATAATCCTATTCTTAAGGGTCTCCAGGTAGAGACCAGTTCCTAAAGTAGTATGGATGCTCTTATCAGACTAGAGGAATTCTGAGTGTTTAAAGACTGACCAGTCCTTTTTATTTCTCAGGCTTCATCACTAAGCTGTCCCTTTATTAGTTCCAAATCATCTTTTTAAATGTACCTGTGTCTCAGCACTACTGACTGAATGCTTCTCGTCCTTATCATCAACTCTAACCTCCTGCCGTTTTCTCTCGAGGATTTCCTCTGTGTCACCCCTGGCCACGCTCCCTTCTTCTGGAAGGGATTCATCTTTTTCGACTACGGGCTCTTCCACAACAGCCTCTGTGGGCTCCTTCCTTTCGACTCCATCTTTGGCCTCCACTAGGTTATACGATTTCTGTTTCTTAAGCCACGGGGGTATGAAGCGAGAGATGCCCCGACTCTCTGAGGGATCCTTCTCCTTCTTCTGACTCCGGGGGCTGCTTTTGCTAACGGCGGCAGTGGGGGACGCTGGACTTTTTTCTTCCTCGGGTTCTGAGGATGCATTCTGTTGACTTTCTGGTGCTTCTTCATCAGGTTTCTCCTGGGCAGCGTCTGCTCCTATTTGCTCGGCCTGCTTGTTCACTTCAGACTCGGAACCGACTTCAGTAGTCATGGTCACCGTGGATGCTAAAGATAAAATCAAAGCACAAGTGTTACCTTTGCATTTGCTCTCAACATTAACCTAAGGGAAATGGGCAAGCAGAGAGGGAGGGGAGAGCGTTAACTGCTATCCTCCCTCAAAAAAGAAACAAGAACAGATGAAAGCAACTCTGAGGTTTGGCACACATAAGCTAGAGGTACAAAAGCACCAGCATCTAAAAAATAGAGCATTTAGTTTGGGTTCCTCTTAATGCTTAGCATAGTGCCGGCACACAGTAGGTGCTTGATAAATATTCATTGACTGACTGATTGTTTAGTTCTCGTTGATACCCAAGACTTGCAGACAGAACCGATAATTGAGGGAATCCTCTTGACCAGGGCAGATTGGTTGTCTGATACTTAAAATCTTAGACAATAACCTAGGGCACAGAGGTTAAATGAGGTTAAGCATGCCCAGGGTCACACGGCCCAGTAGTTAAAAACTATAGATATTTAAGGATGTGAACTACAGATATTTAAGGAAAAAACTTCCCTGTATTTCACTGCCCTTTCCCTGAGGAATGTTGAAATCTACATTCCGGAAAGGGATAATGGAGAGATAATGGAGATATTAAAATAATGTATTATTTACAGTGGTAACAATTACTTATGGTTACCTTAGAGCAGTGGTTCTTAACCTCGTTTATGTCATGGACCCCTCTGGCAGTCCGGTGAAGTCCAAGGACCCTTTCTCAGGATGGTATTTTAAATGCATAAAATGAAACATGTTAGAATGAGCATCTGAACCCAGGTCTTCTAGACTCTGAGGCAGAGTGGCTCTCTACCCACCAAGCCATGCTTCCTCTGAGTATCTTCTATATGAATATAAATGAATTCCCAAATGCTAATGGGGCAGCTAGTAGCACACTGGATAACACGCTGGGCCTGAAGTGAGAAATACCTTAGTTCAAATTTGGCCTCATAAACTAGTTATGTAACATTGAGCAAGTTACTTAACCTCTAATTGCCTCACTTTCCTCATCTGTAAAGTGGAGCTAATAATAGCACCTACTCCAAGGGTAGTCAGATAATAACTGTAAAATGCTTAGCACAGTGCCTGGCATATAGTATTTTATAAATATTAGTTATTATTATTACTGATATAGAACTCAGAATTTCTTTCATCCTGTATCCACCCCAGATAATAACTATAATGAACTCTTATAAGACAATGGTGTTTTGCCTTTATAAAGAAATTAGAATTTTGTTCTATTCTCTGTAAGTTAACTTGAAATTTCTGCTGGTGGTGACATTAAAAGTATTAAGACTTTTTAATTTTATAATCTGCCAGTTTTTAAGCAAAACTCAAATTCTCCAAAGATGCAAAGTATTATTAAATGAAACAGATAATGATATACCATATACATCTTGTATGTACATAGATTTGTATATTGTCATCCCCTTTAGAATGCCAACTCCTTGAGGGTCAAGGACTGTATTTTTGCCTTTCTTTGTATCCCTGGTGTTAATAATTATTAGCACATGAAACCCACTTAATAAATATTTGTTGAATGGCTTACTGTTGAGAAAACTCTAAAATCAGAAATTTTCTATTTTTCACATCAAATTTCAAAACATCCTTCCTTCTATTCCAACTTACACCAATTCTAGAAGCATCAAAGTACAATCAAAGGCCCTCCAATCGCCACTAACTCCCCAAACCCTTCTTTTTTTTTTTTTTTAGAGGGGATCTGGGTTGTGTACTAATACAACAGACTCCACTCAAGCTTGAAATAAGATACCTATTTTCTGAAGGTAACTGTCTCAAGGTTGAAGCAAGTAATTCCAAGGAAATTACACTGAAAGGACATTAGAACTGAAAGGCACCTTGAGGGTTTGACTCAAAGCAACTGAAGTCTACAGAGAGTGACCGGCCCCAGATTACAAAGTTAATTTAGCAGCAGAGCCAGGATCAGAATCCAGATCTAACTCCAAAGTTCTATTACAAATTTTGCCTTACTGTAAAATACCAAAAGGCTTCTTATAACACTGCTGTAGTTGGTGTTCAAAATTTTTTAAATCAAAGCAGTACTAAACCTAAACATTCGATGATGTTCCAAATTTACTTGACAACTAACAGCCCCACTACTTAAGTTCATTTATGAGATTGAGATGTCTAAAAAAGGGCTAATGTTGACAATTTGCCAAAATATTTTAACAGCAGTAATACACTGTCCTCAAGTTTCTTACTGCTATGTTAAATACATGCAGGTATCATTTGCTTTTAGTGTGTAGTATAGCATAAAATCTATTCTGGCCTAGGAAATTAATCAAATATTTGTTGACCTGACCTGTTGATCACAGTGTGAACTGTGAAATTATTTTATAATTCAATCAAGGTCCTATTATTAATTAGTTTGTCATGCAGCAAAATAATCTATTCATATATGTTACCCTTCCTAGGGGCACTTGAGTAGCACAGCGTATAGAGAGCTGAACCAGGAGTCACAAAGACCTGAATTCAAATCCAGTCTTAGACACACTAGCTCTGGGACTCTGGGCAAATCACTTAACCTCTTTCTACCTCAGTTTCCTCGACTGTAAAATAAGGATAATATTTTAGAACCTACCTCAACAGGTAGTCGTTAAGGATCTAACGAGATAATATCTGCAAAGTACTTAGCACAGTGCTGGGCACATAGCAGGCATTTAATAAATGTTTGCTTCCTTGATTCATTCTTAAAGAAGGCCAGTGCCATTATGAAATATAGAGGAGCATAAATGAAGACTACAATCTAACATAATAGTGACAAAGAAAAAGATTAGCTTTTCAGATTACGATCACATTAACAAGAAAAATCACGTGAAGAGATCTTATTCAGCCTTAGCATTAATGAGCTAATGGACTGGGGAACTAGAACCAGTTGGGCCAGATGTTAATTAAAAACAAAAAAAGTCATTATGAAGTAGCTCTGTTTCATTACAAGGTAAAACTGTACAAAGCAACTTCAGTTAAATTCATCTTAAAATCACTACCAAACGTTTATAAATCAATGACCCAATGAAATAGAAACATACAAAAATGAAAAAAAAAATGGCCATTTTGAGCATTTTCACTTGAACTATTGAATATCATTCTATTAATGTTAGGGAGCAAATTCTTAAAGCAGTTAAAAAGGTCAAAGATAAGTAACTATGTCTTCATGGTTCTTACAGTGCCTCATAATAAAAGTTACACAATAATTATTTTGTTGATATGATGCCTTTTTTGCACAAGATTTTTAAATCTGTTAACTATGTTCTTCTTAAGAAACCATAATTCTATACAATAGCAATACTTTCATCTGCCTCTCCTAGGACTACAGAATCCTACCATTTTAAAGGATCTTAGTAATCATCTCATCCACAACCCCTCTCCCCCTTTCTCTTTACAGATGAGAATACTGAAGCCTAGATAATTATGTGATTTGTCCCAGGTATGAATAGCCAGGCTGGGAAGAGAAACCACATATTCAAATTTCTACTAATTTCAGGGCTTCCCCCCACTACTAATCTCTAATTACTTTCCCTTAAAATCTAGTATTTATACAGTTATACATTAAGTAAAATATTTCCTATGTTTCCATGTGCCTTATTATCATCAGCTAAAAAGAAGATTGCAGATTAACAGCAAACTCATTAGGAGATCATGTGGTTTCAACACAATCAGCACGTTAGCATGCTTCATCTGTGCTTATAAAAGTTTTCATTATTGTAACAGTACCATGAGAAAAGCCATGCATCACTTAACCTTCAGTCATGCAGAAGTTTCCATTAATAAAATAACAAGTACTGGTTAGGTGGGCAGCTTTGTAATATAAAACCATTCTTCTTCAAAAGAGAGGTTAGTAACCAAGCTATCAACTTCACTATATCCATATACTACTTAGTTTTGTTTTGTTTTGTTTTTTAAATCAGTCACTGATTAAAAACCAGGATGGTAATATTCTAAAAATTTCTAACCAGGAATTTCCCAATATTTGGGGGAAGAAGAAAAACTTGTGAATTTCTAGAAGTCTTGAAATCATCAAAGGGGAGTTGAGGATAGGGGTGGGTGGAGGGTGGAAATGAGGTTATTTATAAAGCCCCTGAAGGAGGAAAGGACTGGGCTCCTAGCTGAGCTTCCATTTTATGTAAGAATTCCAGTACACAATGAACATTTGGGCAGAGAATCTTAGATTTGAAAGGGATACTATAAACAATCATAAACAACTCCCATTTTTTTACAGGCCCAAATTGGTTTCTCAATGAATCCAACCCTAATATCAACTACAAGGATGGTCTCCCTCCCTTAACTTCTCAAATCATTCTAGAATTTTTCTACATGTGTATGATTTACCTTCTCATTCAGTTATTTGCATACTTATTTCTTCTGTGGCACCTCCTCCAAGATGAGGGGAACTCTTAAAACGGCAGGAACTTGTTATTTCATTTTTGCATTTTTGCATCCCTACTCAGAGGAATCAATCAATTAATCTCTACCCCATTTGAGGCCTGGAGGTCCACAGTGATAGCTAACAGCTGTACACAATTCTCCCTTCTGGCCTCCACATATTAACTTCAACCTTACTGACAATGTGGGGGTTGGGGGGGGGCTCCAATCTAGGCAAGAAGCCCCCATCCCTATCCTTGCAGGAGGAAAACTAGAATTCCCTCTCTACTCTGACCAGTAGGCCCCCCCTTCCCAATGGTGGTAAGCTGCTGCTGTAGGACAGATATACAACTTCTTGGGACTTCTGGGTCTTTCTATTTGTCCTATTACCCATCTCTCTCCTCCATGTATTGTCTTCTCCAATCATTGAGAACAAGGACTGTGTTCTTTTTGTATACCCACCCCCAGGACAGTGCTTGGCATACAGTAAGAACTTAATAAATTCATTCATTCATCAATCAATAAACATTCTCTATTAAGGATGTGCTAAATGCAGGGGCACTGTATTAAGACCTAAGAATATAAACACAATGCAACAATCCCCTACTGGGAAGGAGCTCACATTCTAATGAGAGAC